CGATGCAAAACGCAGGAGTGGGGTTGGGATGTGAGGTCGGGATCGTCGGGGAAGACGTTTGCACGTTTGAACTTACCAAATATCTAAAATGTGTCAGATTTAAAAGTTTAATTTTGTTAATTTGGTATGTTTTGTAACAAGTTATGGGACAAAAGTTGTTGCTTATGATATTAGTAATATAGTCCTGCGAGATTGTTTGTATTTTGCAAACCACTCTGTATACAGAGTCATAAATCCTGTTCACGCGCTTTGAGAGATAGTAGCACCTACCTTAAGAACTATATATTTCCCAGCACAGAGTGGAAGTTTTTGAAAGAGAGCGCAGAACTTTAGCTAAATTTTACTAACTATTAGAAGATTTTATTGAAAACCGTTCGTCAAAGTACGAATGGTTCAAAAAAGTTTTTTTTTTTTTCGAAATTTTCAGAGTTCACATTATATCTGTGAAATGAACGTTGTATAGATTATTCTAATTGTAATTTGGAATTGAATAGCTGTTATTCGATAAGTGTTCCGCTAATAGGTTTATAAAAAAGTTGGTCAGCCCGCTCAAGCTTGGTGGTTTTGCGGAATAACAGTAAAAATCGGTGACTTTGTTAATTTCTGATATTACAAAAGAACATACAAGCAACAAATTCATATTCGTTAATTAATTGCGTCACATGGGTAATATAAAACTTATTAAAATAATATAAAGTGCAGCCATGAATCATCCACGGCACCGCAACTTATAAATTTCATTCTTATTGAACTAAAATCTTAAAAAAATATATTAATACAATATCAAATTAGTTTTAAATTAAGTAAAAAAGTGGTTTAAAAAATTGAAAGTATTAATATTATCAGTTATATAATATCATTGGTTAAGAGTATCAAAACGAAAACAACACCTGTTATAACAGTTTTGAAATATCATGGATCATTTTATTATTCATATTATTTAGTCTCAGCTCTCGAAAAAATCTTGCAACGTCTAAAAACATTTTTGTACCAACTATTTTGAGTAAGTTTAATGTTAAAAGTTTTATTTTTAACCTCATTTTGAATGCTTTTGTTAACGTTGTTATATATTTTTATACACATGGTGTAATAACCACAGTTATGCATTATTAATTTTGATGCTGGATCTGGGTATTTTTTGTTTAGGTTGTAAATTTGTTGGTTGCTGTTAGTTCGGAAAGCGGCGTCTGTTTTTCTTAAAAATTTACTCATTTCTAAGGTGCAAATTGATGACAAAGTAAGAAACTTAAATGAAAAACTGGTAACTATTTTCGTGCCTAGCGACATAGAACCTGCCTGTAGAGAGTAGCCAGGTATGTACAGTCTAACTTCCGAGCAGGTAAGCGCGTGTTGTACACAACACATGTATATGTTGAAAGTTAGTAATCCGGCTCGATGAATTTACTTTTCGTGTACATAAGAGGCTTTGCCGACTACCCTTATTAAAAAAAAGATTGTTTTGGGAATATGTACAATGAAATATTCACCGTTAGATTCTATCAGTAAAGTAACCCTTGACGTAGTGCGTGACGTTAATAATTGAATACGTAGGGTACGTATTTTTTACGTTCAAACTTTTTAAAAATCTTTTATTTAATTTGGGCTTTTATCGCGTAGCGATACTGCCAGCTCCATTATTACAGACCATCTCTAATTTCACTTGGATTTATTTTTAACCGACAAAAAAGGAGGAGGTTATCCATTCGACTGTATGTTTTTTTTTGTATGTATGTTACGCGATAACTCCGGTATTTGTGAACCGATTTTCATGATTCTTTTTTTGTTGGAAAGGGGGTATTTCCATAGTTCATTTTGAAGAAAATCATCCACCTCGAAGGGTGGCTGTTCACGCATGAAGATTCTTTTTTATAAATAGCGCCTAACTTTAATTTAGGAGCAATTACTTGAATGGTTGATTTTGCTATTTCTCCTATTCAAGGCGTTTTTCTCTCAATATACTTTAAGTAGTATCGTAGTGAAAACCTATATTTATTATCTCCAGTGTCAAGTCCTGTATAGTGGCGAACTAGGGGATATTTCAATAAAACTTAGCAAATAGCCGTAATTCCACGTACTTTTGAGGTCGGTTTTTTTAGTACTCTGTACTGAGATTATTAATTAACATGAGTATTAGCTTATACATTCCATTGGCCAGGATACTACTATAAGGCTTTGATAATATGAAGTATCACATGCCAACATCCTGTTAGTCTAATTCCAGCCTCTAGTTTTGTGCGTCTTCGTTCCGCTCTGAAGCTGGTACATTCCTCTAAAGCGTGGTGGGTCTCTGGTATTACAAGTAGTACAGTTTGGGAAGTCTACTATCTTCATTAGGTGACCGAACGCATTAAGTAGAATGTGTCCGGTCTGCAGTCTCATACTAATGACCAGTAGAGGCCGGTTCAGTCTCATTTGTGTAAACCAAGGTATCTTTCAAGGTTCAGCTTGTATAGTTTTGTACCATATACTTTTTTCAACAGATCTCTTATCAAAATCTTCTTTCCACATCGCGTCTTTTACCTACTAAACTCAACTTAAAAATATTACGTAAAAATGGCATCCATCTAGGGTTATTTCGCAATCTCGCTTTAAAGCAAGATTACCATCTAACCTTACATTAGTGAAAAATTCTCATTGGTAATTTCAATCATGAAGCCCTACTACGCCGGAGGTCCTAGGTCCGATTCCCCACTCAGTATAGCATAGTTATGTCTGGTGTGATAAATAATAAATATGTAGAGTGTGACGCGAGTTCTTGTGCATGAGTAGGCGTTAAAAGTTCATCCATAAATATCTCCATTCCACCGATTGCCACGGACTATTCTATGACAAGTGTAAAGAGATATTTTTTTAGAGGAGAAAGCACTCCGATGCAGTGGCAGTACCTTCTCTAGAAACTTTACATTGAAGTGACACGGAGACAGACGAAGGTTTTACAATTCTGGATGTGTGTCTCGCTTTCAGCAGTAACGAGGATAGCCTGTTTGTTTTTTGAAGGATCTGTTGAATTATTGACAAGGTTATTAATGGTAAACAGTACAAATACACACTACACTACCCCTACCATGTTTTAAAATTATTTATTATTGTGACTGCTAAGTCTGAGGCTGCTAAGACTGTACTGTACGTTTTGGTCAACTTGATTAATGCATTAAACTAAACACATGTATCATCCAAGTTCAGTAGTTAAAATCTTATACCGAAACTAGGCATGTCAACCGGAAATTGCCGCTGAAAGTGGGACTCGGCCAAGCGCGGCGAATGCTGACCTTTAATCATGCTAAAATTGACTTGCTTATTGATCTAAGTATTTTGAAATAGTGTTATTATTATTTTAAACTGTAGGACTTTGTGTTTTAATATACATTGACTGTAATTTCAGATGTGTAGAATTAAAGCGTACGCAAAAGAACTTAGCTATCCAAAGTTAAAAAATTTCAAGCCACGATACCGCAGGGCCACAGCTTTGCATTACATTTTTTACCTTCAACATAATGTCATAAATTCGTACCTATACCGTCGTGATGAAAGGATATGCCAATCGGCGTAAGATACTCGCTAACTGTTGCCCCGGCTGCGGTAGACGTACGTTATTGCCGGGAGGCAGGCACCTTTTGTGCAGTGCACATATATATTTATAATGCGTAATATATAATAGCGGTAGGGAATTACTAACCTCATCTCTGAAACCTTATTCTAATACAGTCTCAATGGTTATTCCTTATTTACCGCCCTTAAAAAAAACTATCTTAGAAAATTACAAATATAATATGTACGTTCACCATGCAAGGTGCCAAGTCGCTACAGGTATACAGCACTCAGAATTTACAGTTAACCAATGAAATACAAAGTTCTAAAATTACAGCATTAATTAATTATAAGGTAAAAAAAGTAAAGATCAAAAAAATTGCTTACGCATAGGAGTAAAACGTATGTCATTGTATGTCTGGTCACAGTCAAGGCATTGTATGACTGCATGTGTCTGTTCAAAGGGGCATAGTTTCCTAGTTCAGTCCGGCTACTAGACTAGGCACGTCACGAGGAACGTTCAAATTTATAGGGCCAGTGCCTCAGGCAACGATATATCGTTGTATACGGAGATATTAATAATTCTACGTCTGATTTCAAGAGAACGCATACTGAAATTACTTTGGCGAATATTATAATATATTTATATTGGTAGAGACGGTTGGGGTCTAAGCGAGAAAACGAGTTAAACTACGTCGTATCCGTTCGTTTCTTTCGCAGTGGACTCTATAATGTGGATTCCAAACCAACGATGCATATTTCAAGCTACTACGTATCAATAAGTGTGTACATAATCGTCTACATCATTTGAAATCGCAGTTTATTCAACTAATGGAAGTGTGAGGGCGCAAACGAATCGCGGATTTAATCTACTAGCGGTAAAATAGTATACGCCGTGGTCATGGATTGCCGCACCGGAATACACAGGAGATGTTAAATTTGCATCTGTGTACGATATTTTTGTTAATTCATTAGTGTCCTTCATGGACTAATGATATGTAGTCATGTTCATCTAGTGACAGGTTAAAAGCTTTTTCAGCATCGTTCGTCTTTGTGATTGTCAGGTGTCTTTATAGATTTTTTAAGCAACTTCCAAAAAGGAGGTTCTCTGTTAGACTATTTATTTGTGTTTGTTACACGATAACTCCGGCATCGGTGAACCGATTCTGATGATTATTTTTTTGTGGGAAAGAAGGTACCTGAATATTGGTCCCATTTGAAGTAAAATTTTCCACTTCTAAGGCTGGTAAACTAGGGGATGAATCCAATTTCGCGCAGTTTCCTTTGACCGATTTCAATAAAACTTGGAAAATAAGTGTAAAAAAGTTATAACATTTAAAAGTTTACATTAGTGTACTTTGACAACTGGAAATTAGATCTTGTTTTTGGACCTGTAGATGTTCTGGCCAAGAAAATATACTTCACATGTATAAAGTGATTTGACAAATACTAACTCCAGTGTTTGTCCATAGGGTATATTCCGCCTGGCATGCGAACACGTACTCCGTACAATGCGACGTGGTCGGGAAACTCTGCTCACTCTGCTGGAAGCCTTCGTTTACGACCCGCTGGTGGAGTGGGGTGCCGGGGCCGGTACCGTGAGCGGAGGACGTCGCAGGCGCAACCAGAGGGACGTCCGCGCTGCGCTGGCGATGTTGGCTGTGAGGGCGCATGAATTGAAACACCATATCAATGACGTCACGTGAGTAAACTTATTGGTATTTATAATGCAAGAAATTCACACCTACTCAGGTTTCAACTAAGATTCTCCGTTTTGAGTAACAGTTTTTTTTATTTATTATAATTTGTCTAAATTAATTCGATAGTAAACAGAAAGCGGAACCTAAAACTGAAATAGTTGACTTTAAATACTACGTAAATTTGAAGAGATGCATAGCGGGAAGATTTTTGTTTTACCTGAATTCACACCCGGCGCTGGAACCTCGCGCCATCACACCTCGTTAATAACCTTGAGTACATTATTCAACGACACGATCGCGAGTCGATATTTCATCACAACCGCCTATTTACATCACCGACAGGTCGCTTTATCGCCATTTTATTTTAAAATATTTCCTTCGTATTTTATGCTTTGATGATGATTGTTGTACAGGCTTCGAAATTTAAATTGTAGTATGAATGGGAGTGTCCCACATTTCGAATATTTCTTGGCTTTATTCTTGTGCCGATATTATACAATAATATATATATATAATATCGGCAGAGTAAAAACCCACAATTTTAACCTTTACAAAACAACACTATTTTAACCTTTGCTTTCGATTACGTCGGGTTTTTACTCTGGCAAAATAAAAACAAACTATTACTGTAAAAACATCTATAGTCCAAATTATTACCTTAACAAAACCCTGCCCCAAAGTGGAATATACACATTGTTACAATGCAATACAGTAAAGAAGCTATTCTCCCTCTATGATAGGCAAAAACCTGAACCTCCACTCGCCATGCTCCTGACAAACCTCTTCCATTCGTCCACTCGCATTAGCCTCTTCATCATACATGTTTATTATTGGTACTTTTAACCTGCCCTTTTTTAAAGACATGTCCAATCTAATCGAATCTATTCTAATTCAATCTAATCTAATCTAATAACATAGCACACACTCAACATAGCCCCGCACTAGGGAAACCCTGTGTCGCGGGTGCTATGGACACACACATAGACAACCACAAATTACACCCAAACTCGCGAGAGAAATAAATGTAGGCCATACAAATATTTCACCCGGCCCGGGAATCGAACCTGGGACCTCTTCGTGGTAACCGTTCGGCCATGGAGGCAGATATATATATATAAGTTGGTTTAAATTATATCAATTTTTTATCAAACGTAAATGAAGTTGTAAATTCAAAATGTTGCACTACGCGATAAGGGTCCATGAGTTTTGACTAGATTTATTTCGATCCAGATATTGAGGGCACTTTTCTTCTACAATTCACAGGCAATAAGCACATGGCATGTCTTTACGAGTGCGATAGCCAGAGGCCGAAGCTTATACATAAAGAATAACACGTCATACACACTCCCGCAAATGTTTGTGACTACCCACCTCTCATCCTTGTGAGTTTCACGACATGGCTCGTTTTTGTTCGTCGTTTGTGTTTACCATTGTTGTGTATTGTCTTTAGAACCCTGTATTATTAAATGGTAACAAAGTTTCGTAATAAACTGAAAGGTTTTCATTGTTTAATGAAAATTATTTGACAAAAGCGGTAAAACAAAAGTTTTGACGTTTAACGAGTTATATCCTTTCTCAAAACCACACTTAGAAATTGCGACAGGGATTCGGATACATTTAATATTCTAATGGATATCTTCGCTAAGACGGGTAGAAAAGAGTGTGTCTTTAAACTTTCAAATATTTGAGTGCACCGCTAATAGGGCTTGCTCCCTAGAAATCCCGGTACTGGCGAGGTGCAATCAGTCCCGGTACCGCAATTATAGATTTCCTGTTCTTCCAGTTGTAACAAGGCGACCTATCTACGAGCTATAAGTAATACCGCCCGTTGGCCCGGTTGCACGGACGCACGTTACTACCATTGATATGCTACATAAACTTATTACTTAACTACAATGTGATTTTACGATATTATGTTGTGTTAAATTTAATAGCAATTGTCTTTCAGATACATATATTTTGAATAAAAACCTGTGGTATGATTAGAGAAAAAAGTTTTTCTTTATTATTTATATATTATTATTACATAAATCATTAAATAGGTACGGATAACCCGGAAAAAACATACTTACTGGTTACAGTTTAGGCTTTTTCAAGAAGTACCGGAAATACCGGGAGTACCGGTACTGAGCTGAGCCCTGCACCAAATTTTAGGAACCGGACCGGTTCTGCAAGCCCTAATTGCTAATGGTTACGTAGACTCATGGCTTATACACCCAATGTCATGCAATCAATTTGTGTTAAAAAATCTCCCAACAATCCCATTTTTACGTTGCTTACGACCATTGCTCTTAATAGTTCACCGGGAATCTGATATATGTATCATCCCTATTGACATTTTCGGCACTACTAGCCTCTCATATATTATTAATACGCTCATAATGTAATGTACCATTGTGTGGATTATAATCATTAATGTTCCGCTCAAAGTCTCTGTGAATACTACGCGCTTCCTGTCGCTCGGGTTCCCAATCGAATTATTTAGTGCTTCACGAAGTGACATTTGTCCACATTAATCATTCACTCAAGGGAAATGTTTGATCTACGTTTTGTTGCAGGGAACAATTTCTGGCCGTCCTACCTGATGTCAAACAATGTGCAGATAAGTGGCTTCAAGAGAACGAAGAACTGAAGTCCGTGGAAACGAGACTACAAGAATGTCATCAGCAAATGAGTTTAATAAAAGAAATAGAAGCATATGGAACGAATCTGAGCAGCCATCCGCTTTACGCTATTTCACAAAAATACACTTCCTACAAACAAGCGAAGAATGCCGTAGAAGATTCCATGAAGGCGCTTGTAAAGATCTTGAAAGATTTTGATACTCAGATTGAAAATTTTGCAGCAACCAACGAAGCAATAAACGGACCACAACTAATGGCTTGGGTACAAGAATTCTCTGGAACTCACGAGGACGATGACAAACCAATCTTTGACCACATTAAAGAGTTCCTGACAAACGCTGGACAAAGCTCAATGATATCACAATGTGAACAAGCAGAAACTGAACTAAATCAAAGCATGCAGCAAACAAATCTTCTCGTCCGATCTTGCTTGGAATTGTTGTCTCAATACGTGGCAGTTTCACAATATTATCCTCAAAGCCGCACGGAGTATCATCACGTAGTCATGTTTAGAAAATACCTTGCAACTGCCCTTGAAAGTAAATCTCCTGAAGTTTGTCGCGAAGTAGCTAATCAGGTCACGGCTTTAGTCAATTCTGATACAGATAGTAATGACCGAGCGCAACAGATTGTCGCTTATAACTATCGCCTGCAAACGATCAATGCAGAAACGGCTACGAATTTAAATAAGTCGTTTGAAAGGCTCCAACTAGAAGGTGGCCCTGACGCCATAATGATTGCTCAAGAAGCGTATAGGGAGGCCAAGGCTAACATCAGCAACTGGGTGAGGGCTGAAGAAGGAGCAGCATCGGCATTAGAATGCGTGGTGGTCGGAATGCTCTGCAACTTGAATAGAAGATACTTGATGTTGGAAAATGGAGCTCAAAGTGCTGGAGACTGCCTGGTCGACTTAACGTCAAGAGAAGGAGAATGGTTTTTAGATGACATGAGCGCTTTATCAATGCAAGCAGTGGAACTCCTATCATTGTTGCCTTTACAGTCTGCGTCGGCAGAAGACGCCGCTATGCCAGTAGCAGTAGAATGCGTCCGCAACGCTAACCTCCTACTGGCAGATTTAGTACAGCTCAATTACAATTTTAGCACAATAATTCTTCCCGAAGCTTTAAAAAAAGTGCACTCAGAGGACCCGTCAATATTGATGATGATCACTGAACTGAACAATGTTATTATGAACACTCCAGTGCCCCTTAACGATCTCCTGGGACAACTGGAGATGCACCTTAGATACTTAGTTATGGATATGGAGGTAAGACATCTTAAATAGTGTATTTGTAGTCCAAACTATGTAACTATAGCAGTCGTCTGTTACTGTAGCTTGAATCTAGTAAAACAAAACAAAAAAAATTAAGATTTAAATGAAAATTCTTTAATAATATTTTCACTTCTCGACATTCCCTCTCTACAGTCTCCAACCAGCAGCGCCCAACTTCTAGCCGCAGAATTACGTACGCGCTACGAAGCACTCCTTTCGGCATCACCATCCGAAACGGAGGGCCAATCTGCCGGCCGCATGCTGCTCATGGGCTTCAACGGACTTTTCGCGGCTGTTGAACTAAGGGCCAGGGAGCTGGCCGACCATCTTGCATCGCCCGTACCCGCGGCGTGGAGAAAAATTGATCACATTAGTGATGCTATGCATATGTCGGTAAGTGGTTTTTGTACATTCGAATTTTTATTTTCATATAATTCATGGGAGCAATACGCCAGGTGTTTTGTTTGTAAATGGCGGAATGAGTTTCATAAAGTTTTGCGCATCCCGGAAAAGAATATAAAAAAAAAATAGAAGTAAGTAGGTGATTTTATCAAATTGTGAACGTTAGACATAGGAGATGAAACTATTTTTTCGGATTGAAATCGCGTATATTTGTTATTTTATACGCGCGATCTGTTTTTATACTAACCAGTAAAAAGTAGTTAGTGTAATAATCGTGAAAACCTAAGAACTCGACATGTGAATGTTAGCTTTTGTCGGAAGTAGAGCTTAACCGGTTAATGCGAGAATTTATCGGAAGTGGCGTTACTAGTTTACATATTGTATCGCTCGTAAAAACTCGACAGGCGGCTTTACAAAGTCCGGCACTACGAGCGGTACTGGAGGACATATTCCTGGTTCGGCGCATCCAAACGGTGGCGGAGGTGTTCGCGATGTGCGCGCAAATGGCGTGCGCCTCGGTCGGCACGGCGCCGGTGGTCGTCTACGACGACGGCGCACTGTGCAAGCCCGTCAGAAGGTACGTACTCCGAAGCGGCCGGGCGGCGGGGCCGGCAGCACCGCGTCAACGCACTCGGCGACCCGCAGGTTCACGGCGGAATACGTGTCGCGCTGCGTGCTGGGCGTGCACTCGAAGGCGCTGGCGACGGTGATCTGCCTGCTGCTGCGCCGCGCCAGGCTCGACCTGCACGCCGAGGTGGAGCAGAAGGAGATCGGTGAGTGGCGCCGTTGGGGCCGCGGGGGCCGAGGGGGCCGCGGGGGCGGCCCGCGCTTGAGCCCGGCGTCGGCTTCCGCAGGGGCCTCGTGGAGCGTGTCCCTGGAGTCGCTGTGCGAGAAGGCGCGCGAGGGCCGGCGCG